CTGCCTGCTTGCAATATTATTCCCTTTTCACTCCTCTCCCGTGGTCTCCTCGTTTAATTGGCCAGCCCCAGCCTGGGTTTTGTAGTCCCCTTATCATTCTGGCCTGACTGCTCCCCTGGCTCCCATCTCACCCTGCCTCTGTCCACCTGCCCCTCTCCCCTGTCCCTCCTCCCGCTGTTTTGTTTGGACAAATGACAGCCTGGGTGTGACCAGAGGCGATAATGGTCCGCAAATATTTGAAGGGGGAAGGAGAAAAATTGTCCCTGGGGGAGTTTGAACGGGGGAGGGCAAGGAGGGCAAGGGGAGGGTTGGGGATGGAAGATGTGCAGATGATGCTGTCCAGCTGAGTACATCATAAATCCCCTCTGGGTGGGTGGGTGGGATGGGCAATGAGCATCTCTCACAGCCCTGACTCTGCTGGGAAGGGCAGGTCCTCTGTGGAAGTGGCACTTCGCTGGGGAGGTTGGAGTTGGAGCAGGGGGGTGGAGAAGAGGGAATGGGAAGGGAGAAAACAGGAATGAAATTGCAGCCAAGAGGGGAAACTTGGGCTGGAAGCTCTGGAAATCTTCCTGTAACTTGAGGGGTTGGTGAGCTGGTGTCTGAATTCAGGTGCTAACAGGGACCGGAGCACACACTGATGGGAAGGAGCTCTGGAGAGGGAGGGGACAGCCACGCCCTGCAGGTCTGTGTCTCCTGTGGATTGCTGCATTTGACCCTGGGACAACATAGAAGGAGATTTTGCTTCCCTCAATAACATCCAAAAAAGTGGTAAAAAAAAAAAAAAAAAAAAAAGAAGGCAAACCTTGCCTCTGTTTGACATTTCATTGTGCCTGTTGAAGGGCTGGGAAGAGAGAGACGCTGGATAACTGATACAATTTTTATTTATAAATATCCTCCTGAAAAATCTGCCCCAGAAAATATCCCTGCAAAGGCTGGCAGGGGAGTTAAGGAGAGACTGGCAGGGAGTTGCCAGAGGCTGTGCAAACAAATCAGTGACAGGAGAAAGGGCTCGTGGCTCCCCTCTGCTCCATGCCAGGACACCCTGGGCTTCTCCGAGAATCCAGTGTGCAGAACCCCCAAGGCTCCAAGGAAATGCTGGACAAAGCACAGAGGGTGGCTGAGATGGACCCTCCCAAGAGCTTTTTTTTTTTCCATCCATCACCCAAAATTAGTTGCAACGATGCTGCAAAAGAATTTTGGGCAAGGCAAGGTGACCAAGTGACACAATCCTGCTCTCTTCCCTGCAAACTTCTTCTCATACATGATTTTTGGGGTAGCACTCTTATCTCATTTTCCATCAGCACAACCCTTCCTGAAGCTGGCAGCACTGCCAAAATCCGAGAGAGTGACACCCCCTGAAGCCAAGAACTGCTCTTAGGGGCAGAGCTCACCCTGTCCCTCCCCGGGGTGTCACAGTGACCACGCAGAGCCCCGGCCCAGCTTTAAACCAGCTCGCACAGAATTTCCCACCCTCCTGAGCACGATAAAGACATCCTTTGTCAGCAGCAGGGATGGTGACAGCTGCCCAGGAGAGACCAATTTTCTTTCGTCTATCAACAGAGAGGGGCAAGTTGGGAGGACTTTAAAGAGCAGAGGGAAGAAGGGGGTAAAAAAGAGACGTGGAGGAATAAGATTTTGAGTTAGCAGCCCTCTCCCCGGGCTGTTTTTTTTACGGTTTGGGGGATTTTGCAGCTGCCACCAAGCGCGGTCGCTGCAGGTGGCGCTGCGATGTTGGGTTTGAGCGCTCGTTCAGCCCGGAGCTGCAGCAGCTTGCGGCCACTTAAACACCGCGCTGCTTTAACAAACTTGTAAAATGGCGGGGGGAAAGAATAATAGAAAAAACCCCGCACAATCTAACTTAGATTTCCTGTCTCTCTCTCTCTCTCCCTTTTTTTTATTTTTATTTTTTAATTTAAAAAAATTTATTTTCTTGTTTTCTTCTTTCTCCTAATGGGCTCGTCCTCTGTTGTCGGAGTCTTCAAGTGTACAGGTGGATGGTGCTGGCAAAAATAGGTGTTTTCTGTTCTTTGGGTGTTGATGGAAGTGACTCCTGTGTGCCACTGTGTGTGGCTCAGGTAATAAGGTAAGAAAAGAAAGGATTCATCAGTGAGGGAGGAAGCACAGAGGGATTCAGGGAGGCTGCTGGCACCCAGGACTTCAGGGGCAATGGAGGATCTTTAGGGCAGCGGGAGGGAAATCAGCTGTGTGAGATTGTTTGGATGGAGATGAGGATTTTGCCTCATCCCGGATGATGCTGAGGCAGCTCTGATCCCGCTTGGTTTTCCCCCTGGAGCAGAGCAGGGGGTGCCCAGCACCTCTCTGTGAGAGGGAAAATATCCACTGGGTGACACCAGGGTGAGCCTGAGCCCTCCTTGTCCTTGGGCCCTTTTGCTGTAGAAATTCACAGGTCAGGGGAGGTCATTTGGGTTTTCCAGCCCTAACCCTTTTCCGCCCCCGCTGCCCGGTTCATGAAAAGGCCTATAAATAAAGTCTCATTTGTCACTCCCTCCTTCATGAACCCAAACAGCTCGGGCATCTATTGACTCGTGCCATTGTCTTAAGAAGCAGAAAGAACTGGTATTAATTTCTTCCTCCCCACCAGCTAGCGGGAAGCAATCTGGGCATATCCAGATTATCCGTGTTTAGCGGGACAGGTTTTAAACGCGAGACCGAATTTCCTTGAGGTTTTCATATGTTTTTATTAAATGGAGCTGCGAGGCAGGCTGGACACTCAATAATACTGTAGCACTCAGAGCAGCAGTGATCTTTAGAGGTTACTAACCTGCCATTGTATCTCTCAGATTCCTGTCTCGCTCCTCCGTTGTCATTTCGCTGTGTTATTACTCTTCAGGCTTCACATCGTATTCATTTCTCTGAATGAAAACAAATGACTCCTTGCGAGAGGTAGGAGATAAAGAATAATAAATACATTTTATGCACCACCTTAAAAAAAAAAAGAAAAAATAAAAAAAAAGGGCTCTGAATCTCCATCTATCCATCAGGAAATGTAAACCGGAGCTCAGGCAAAACACACACACAGGCGCGCTCACAGGCACGCGCCGGGGAGATAAAACTTGTTTTAAGGAAAACATGATATTGTTTCTAAATAAATAGCTTGGAGGATGCAAATAGACAGCCCCCGGCCCCCGTGCTTTGTGGCATAAATTTAAGATAATTAAAAATACTAAGCTCGGATTAAGCCTGATTTTCTGTCAATGGTGGAGGCTGTGGGGAGGAGGAGGAGGGGGAGTCCTGCTGTGTTTGGTGCTGCACAACCCCTGGAGAGGCAATTCCTGCCTCTGATCTCGGCTATGGATTTCCGTGGGTGCTGGGACCCCCTTTCCCAGGCACCCCCTGCATCCCTGCCGGATGCCTTTGCCTTCTGCTGGGGAAGGGGAAGCTGCAGGGTCACTTGCAGAGTTTTCTCCCCGGCCTGAGCATGGCCAATCCCCCCGAAAGCAGAGGGGATCTCCCCCAGCTGCTTCTCCTCTTCTTCAGACCTTTGTGAGGCGCCCATCCTGAGGAAATCGGGGCTCCCTGGGGAGCAGCCCTGTTGCTACCAACACCCTGAGAGCATCCCTGCCCTTCCCAGCACCTGCTGCCTGCCCCGGGGCTGCCCCTGGCATCACCTCCAGGGAGGAGCGCGGGTCTCACTCACGGAATGAACTTTTGGGGTGGGGTCTGCCCCCCGGCAGCCTGGGGGACACCAAACTCATGCAGCTTCTAAAAAATACATTTATTCCTGCGGCTGCCCGGAATTACAGGGAGCCCGGGCCAGGGGAGCAGCTTGCAGCCGCTCTCCGGGATTATTGCTCACCCGAGCTGAGAGATTGATCTGCCCCTGAGCCTCCCCACGCCCGCTCTGATCCGCTCCCCTCCGCGCTGGCTCCAAGCCGGAGGGGAGCAGCAGGGCACAGCCCGGAGAGGGAAGGGAAGGCAGGGAAAAGAGAAGGGAGATGCCAACCAAAGCCTTTTCTGAGGAGGAGCAGATGGGGGCAGGCAGCGAGATGCGGTTGGTTCCGTAAGTGCGTTTTGGGTTTTATTATATTTTTTTTTTTTTTGGGGGGGG